AATAACAATAATACAACGATGTATTTAATTTTTTAATTTGTGCCTATTAGACTATCGTGACTGGAATTTTATTCTTTTGTTTTATTCGTACATTAAAATGTCGAACCTTGTCCTGGTATATTTTTATTAAAAAAATAAATACTTGCGTACAATGAAAACTGAAATATTCCTTCTTATAAAAAAAGGAACCGCGGAAAACATTCTACAAGTTATTTTAACCTCTAAGCACGTTTTTTTTTTTTTTTTAATATAAATTTCAATTTAACAACAACATATTTTGAATAATGAAAAGTTGGTCGAGATATCTTATTAAAAACGAGCTATATGCATTGTAATCTCTGTGAAAATATTTTAAAACATTAAATTTCCATTCGTCATAAATAACGTGTTGTAGAGAAAAAGTAGCAGATATGCAACAGATGGTTCAAGTATATAGTTGATATATATATATATGCAAATACATTTACATACATGCATATAAGTGTTTTACGCATATTTTTTACGTACGAATAGTTCCAGGCAGGGTGTACATCAGAATTCAGGTAACAAAATGACTTTTTGATTTGTTCGTCGTCGTAATCAATGATTATTATTTATGAATATTATTATATTTGTTGTTAAAAAATATTTAGAAGACAATTCACACCTTCATGCGTTGTCTCCCTCTAAAAAACGAATTTTTAATTAATTTTAATTTTTAAGCAAGTTGTGAGAATGTAAAATATTACAATGAAAAAAAAACTCATAACTCGCTTGAAAATTAAAATATCGAAAAGTACCAACCAACACAACATAGATAATTTCTTACCTTAAATTTTTATTACAGGTTAGTTTATTCTAATATTAAAACTAACATCATTTCATTTGAATTACTGATTACAAATTTGTTATGTTGCATGTGTAATGTCAGAAGGAGACAACATATACGGGTATGGCGTTCTCTTAATAAAATTATCTAAGCTATGAGTCATAGCATGACAATATACTCGCATACTTGTAAATTATTTTTTTTGTCAATGGATGTTATAATCTATACGATTCTTGTATCAGGTATTAATTTTATTCTGTTATCATTTATTATAATAATATGCGTCGATAAACATTTAACGTTTATAATTTTTATACTATCTGTAACCCATCCGACTATTATTTAAACTATTGACAGCGTTGTAATACTTCGAATTCCTACATTTCTTCACAAAAATCTGCTCGACAAAGTCCAATTTAAAAACATGTTTACACGCACATTTTTTTGTTTATATTTTATTGACTCAGTATGGCATACATCCGTATAGCGTATGGGAACGCGACATTTTTCAATAAAATTGTGTATCGGGATATATAAATCCAACATAATTTCTTTGTGCGAAATCATATTTTTTTCACAAATAACACGTACTTGACATTTATAAAATTGTAGAATATAGGTGTTCTCTGAATCAACAGAATATTTTAAACCGTCACAATTGTATGTATACTATGATTATTTTGTCGAACAAATATACCGATGGAATTCAAATGTCAATAAAAATATTAACAATACCTAGTTACGATTAAGCAACGATTAAGTGTATTTCTTCCAAGCTTACTTATTTTATCATATCCAATCCAAATCTACTCCTTAACACTCGCTCCACTTCTATCATTCACTAAATTACACAGATAAACAATTTCACCTCGGTTCCTTCATCCAGGAAATATTTTGTACATAATTATTCTAGTTCTAACTTAATTTTTGTAAATTTGTACCTATAATTTAATTGATTTGATGATCATTTACTATAATTAATGATAAAAATTCCGATTAAATTAATCATAATTTGAGTGAGTCAACATACAACATAGGGCTTAATAGAGCATATATGAGCAATACAACTTGAAATAACTTCTCGAGGAAAAATAAGGCAATTCTGTGTTTTAAAAATGATTTACAGAGAGTTAGAGCTGCGTCGACATCATATCGCTCGAGAATTCACAGAATCATTTATTAAATAGTACCTACATAATATAAATTAGTAGCTATTCTATAGCTGATAAGCGACTTAGAATTTAACAAGACCAATCAATTTCATAGCTATGTATGCCTTGGATTTAAATACTATCAGATAAAATTATATTTTAAGCTATTGCAATCGTTGATACAGAGAAAAATATTAACTTAGATATAAAAAAAAAATATTGATTTTTAATATGTTCACCCTAGCCACATAGATAATAGGAAATAATTGTGCTCTTATTCATTATTAATTTTTAATTAATAACCAGTGACGGTGCTAGAGTTTGCGAGGCCCAGGGCAAAATAAATGTTGGGTCTTATAATTTATATTAATAAAATATTTTAAGTTCAGTTGGCGTTAATTTCTACTATTAGTATTGCGAATTAATACAATTTATTGTGTTCATTATTCTGTAATAACCAATACCAACATATAATATTATTATTACAATTTAATGAATAACTAAACTTAAATTAAAAATACGAATAAACAGTAATTATCAAATATCATAAAAAAAAAGTATGTCCATGTAAATAATACAAGATCAACTGGTAATGTTTATAAAATTAAAAATCTATCGTAGTCTGAAAACTTACGATATTTTTAAATACCTATCTTCACGAATAGTGACAGCATTATTCACAGTGGCGTTGCTAAGGTTAATGGGTGATAATCTCCCGCCCTCGAAATATTTCTCTTATTTTCTAAGATATACAACCATTTTAGGTAAATCATGTTATCATCAAACAATCATCTCAGTTTCAACAAACTTAATGATAAAAAATGTTATTGTTTAACTTATGTTTAATGGACTTGTTCAAATTAAAAAGTTGTTACTAATTAGGAGATAGAATTGAAAATTTAAAACCTCCTTCAAAAATATTTTTTTGGTTACCTACTGATTATACATATTTTTTTAAACCCTAAAATAAGATTCTACAAATTCCCTGGATATAATAAAACTAAAGATTAATAGTCTTACATAATATTTGTAAATATCGGAGTGTATCATTTTATATAACATGTAATAATAACTAAACAATTTAATTAATAATATAAATAATAACTTTTTATAAACGTTGTAGGTAGGTAACTTATTTTATATGCAGTTTTATTTAAATTGTGCTTCAGTAAGATTCTAAAAAATACACATATTGCTAAATAAAATGAATGAAATGACCAACTCAGGTCAGAGTATGTAAGATAAGAGAAATATTTGTTATAATATACAGATAAGTAATTATACATTGATAAAGGTTTTAATTACACAGTCTATGGGCATTGATTATAATTATGAATATATACTGTTATATATTAAACATGTAATCTTTAAATTTATTATTAACTACTTGGAAAAATGAGCAAAATCAATGACAGTATACCTATTAAATCCAATTGTTAAAATACATTTATTATTTTATGATTGTATATAGTTATAAAGACTGATTATGAAGTGAATATATATTATAATTAAACATTTGTTTTGAGACATTATTATTGGGTCATTTTTATAATAATAGGTATAGTAATAGTTAATGATAAACAAATTATCTATGTGTGATTAATAGTTACTTGAAAAATAATTGAAAGTAAAGTCATATTACCTCTCATGAAAAGTGTAAGTAAAAAGTTATTATTAATTAAATTTACATTTTTAATAATAATTATAAGTTTTTGACATTATATACATATATTAAAAACGCATAAATGTGAACAAAATATGATTTCAAAGAAAGCGTTAGTATAATTATTTAATATTGGCTGTGAAATAATTATTCACTCATTTGTTAAGCAAAAATAACATTTATTTAAATAGCACATTGAATGACACCTATAGATAAGAAAAAATATTTAAGAATTTATAGTATTATAGAAATATTAGAAATTAATAATTTAAAAGTACTAAATTTTTAGTGGTTCAAGAAGTGTTTTGAAAATCAGAACTTTATACTAAATAAAAATATGTTGAATGTAAATGATTAAAATATAAAATATGTTTAATGTTGAAAATTTCTATTTATAAATTATCATAATTTAAATTGTATTTTTATATTTTAATGCATTTAATAACCTGACAGTACAATATATTATAAGAGGCACAGTTAATATGTTTTATATTTGGAATAAAGAACTTAGTATAAAATATAAAATTAACCTATCAAATAACCTGATTTACCTTACTTAAAATAATATTTTAACTATAATTTTTTTAATTATAATATTTAATATATATATTTAATTATATAAATTCTAAATTCACAGCAAATTACAATGACTGACATTCTAAGGATTGCTATTAAAACCAGAAAGCTTATAACGTTAATTGCTATATTTTATTTACTATAGTTTTTCTACTTTTCATATATTAACTCAAGTAAAATGTAGTTAGTATCATAAGATTTAGTAGACTAAGTATACAAAAATACCCAAAAATATGAATAATTTTTTTTTTTTTTTATTGGTTAATGTCATATTGGTATACAACACATTTAAATTAAACGTATGCAGTGAAAAAAATAAATTTTTTATTTACTTTCGACCAGAAAAATGAAAATAATATTAATTGATAAGATTAATTAAATTAATTAAATATTACAGCAGTAATTGTATGAACATCTGTATACTAAAGCATACCATACTACTGCTTATAAACAATATTTATTTAACATTTAAAAATTAATAAAATAGACTTTTGTAGTTTAAATTTGCTCATTAAGCTACATAACTTTAATTAGCCCTATACTTGTACTAAAAACATTTAATGAAGCAGAAATTGATAATTTACAATACAAATAATATTAAACAAATTTTGTTACATTGTTAAATAGATTCATAGGTAATTCATTTGGATAAATACCATTTTAACAATAAGTATTTTATATATTATAAAAAATAAATGTTATAAACATGAAATATACAATATATTTAAAACAATCATACATTAACATATAATTTCAATAATATTTAATTTAAAACTCAACAAAAAAAATTAATTTATATAAGTAAATATTAAAAATAAAAAATACTGCATTATAAACCATAAGAATAGTACTGCATTACTATCTAGTTTATTTTTTATTTTGGGTAGAGAGTTCAAATTCAATAGTTTTATCCTGAATTCCAGTGGTTTCTTTAAGCATATTATAAAGTTGTACAATTTGATCATCAGTGAATGAATCCAATACACCTTCTTGCGTACTTAAATTTTTACCAAAACCAATATTTGCCTTGGCATTCTTTAATAACTGCTCAGATAAAGTCAAAGTGTATTTCTAAAAAAAAAAAAGTTTTATTATTCTTATACTTTAGATAACTAATTCTGATTTTTCTTACACTCCATTCAATCATGAATATTTGAGCCTCTTTAGGATTACAGTTTTTATGTCGACGAAATTCATCTCGTACATATGTTTGACCAAGTTCTTGTAATTCTTTTGGTAAGCCTCGATGTAGCCTTAAAATGGTTTTGTATAATATACGAACTCGTTGAACATGATTTAGTTTAACCATCACTGTTCAAGCCTAGTCATTTTTAAACAATATGAAAATTTAAATCAAATTAATTCAAATTATACATCAAATAGTAACTTATAAAAGTTTAAGCATTTTGAAAGAATCATAACAATTGAAGTACTACAGTTCTCAAAAAGTATTATTTTATATCTTTGACATTTTTAAAATATTCATTACTCTCATTATAATTTTGATAGAAAAATATTATTATTATTCTATAGTGTCAAGAAACCAACAAATTACAAAATTAGTGTATTTAGCAATATGTATAAAAAAGTTATTGTTAAGTTGTTTATTATAGTCATTGTTAAGTTACATATAATATATATATTAAATACATAAAGTTTAGAAAATGTAATTCGTTTATATATTTACATTAGACATTGTATGTCAAGAATTTATAATGTAACAGAATATTATTTGGGAAGGTAATTAATTGAAAAATTTAAGGTTGAAAATTATTTGGTTTTGTTAATTGGTATAACAATGTAAATAATTCAGATGACATTTTCTTTAAGGAGAAATATTTGTTTTATTAGTAAATGTCAAACGGAATTCTGGTTTATCCGACATAGGCATGTAAACAAGAGAGAATAATTTAACTATGCTCATTATTCAAAAGGGAAAAAATAATAAAGAAATAGCAAAGTGATAGGGATACAGCAGATATTAAGACAACAAGATGATGTAATGATATTAATACTTGTAACAGTAATCAATACTTACGTTCTGTGGTTTCCTAAGAAATTTGAGCGATTTAATGCTATCGGTTTTCCATGTTATTACGAAATTCTGCTTCTCTATGGATCAGTCGTGATAAGCGCTCGTCGGGTCCGCAGGAGAATACAGTGCAGGTCAAAATGAGGGAAAATAACGAACCAACGTGCGTCGACCACACCCTAGATTGGCGGCATTGTTGGCGGCGTGGGTAACGGATCGCTGTGATTGGCCGACCGGCCGCGCGGCTGCGACAATACGGCGGTACGGCAAAACCGATTTCGAGTCGCACTAACAGAACGTTGTTGTTTCCGATGCATTACGCACATTGAACGTGTATTAACCACAGAATAGCTTTTCGTTATTTTCATATTTTTTTTTAATTTTTTTTTTACAACGTACATCAGTGTATATAATATTACAATATTATATATATACATTAATCTGCGTAGAAAATTTTATTTTCATCAATACGTAATCAAATATTTTTGGAACGCCAAAAAAAAAAATAATCGAACGCACTCGTTCGATCGACCAAATTACTATTTGTAGTGTTTTTTTTGGAGAAGTGATTTTTCGCAGTCCGCAGTCTTATCAGACGACGCCACTGTCTATATACACACGCACACTGTAAACCATTGTCAAGTGAGTTATTTTATTTATATACCTAAGTAATAACACTACGTAGTTGTATCTCCCTATTTTGTTTTTTTTCTTTATTTCGTTATCCCTCGCGTACTAGTCGCCATTGTACACTCGACGTTTTCGCACCTGCCCGAGCCCCCTGGATGAAAATAATAGAAGAAAAAACTTAAGACATTTTTTTCTCTTACCAGCTGTGCTGCCTGTGCCCACCGTTGAAGTCTCGACGGTGCGCGCCCTTCGTTGCTTATTTCCGTTAAGCTGCTCTAAAAATTAACCTACACGCCCTTAATTTGGTTTTTTTTTTATATTATTCCCATCGACCGATTCTGTATTCTAGTCGATTTTTTTAATTATTTAATTTTTTTTTCAGACAATATTTTTATTGTTATAATATATAAATAAATATATGCATACCTATAGGTACTTAATTAGGTATTGTTAGGTTAGGGTGGTTATTTCGTGAATGATTTTCATTCAAACTAGGGATTCCCAAATTGTAGATTTTTGCAATTCCAAATAACGTATTTTGAGGTGTAGGTAAGTATTTCATTTTTAATATTATATGATTTTATAATTAAGTACTTTCATTTGCTTCTCCACTTTTTTTTACATTATACCGTTTGTGATACCCAAATAACAACAATGCAATTGTATGACTCATGCTGTAGATTTAAGAATGTGTAGATAGATACAAACAAAACGTCAATATATATTCATTATATAATGTGTTTTTTTCATCTAAGTTGCATTTAATACAATTATTTGTTTCACCTTTGACATTACAATGATAAATTAGTTACCTTTGTTATGTGTTTAGTTATGGGTTTTCTTGTATTTCGAGAAACGATGTCTGATACCCATAAGTAATTCTTAAAAATTGTGTAAAATTATTGACTACATTAACTAACAAGCATAACTGTCGTGTTTTGTTTTAGTGGAAGGTTTAGGTACATTTGTTGCTTTGTTTCATTTTTGATGTCTAGAGTGCTGTTCAGTGACCTCAGACGATTTCCGGACTTGATAATATTTCGTTTACATACTTCCGTCGATGAATAATTGAGAAAATAATTTATCGTTTTTTTTTTTTTGTGCACCATAAAAATAATATTTAACTGTTAATTGAACTTTGCTAGTGATCTTTAGTGTTGGCTTATCGGTTATTAAACATTTTTTGTTCTGATATAATTGTAGTGTGTTCGGTTAATTTACTCAATGGATAATAAACTAGTGTCAATAAAATTATCATTCCTACAAGTACAAAACTGATTCTAATATATTCGAAGGTCAAAGATGTCAATATGAAATAAGTGTCATTGGAAATTTATAGAAAAAGTGATAATGTGCATGTAATAACACGCATATAGAAGTGTTTTTCGTACACTTAGCAGATTCTTATTACTTAAATGTTGCTCATAGTGGGAATTAAATCGGTCTACATTTCTTGTGTGCGCAGTTTGATATTTAGAAACTGTAAACGTAGCTAAAGTAGATTAGATATATATCAAGAGATTTAATTTCTCGTTTCGCATGGAAGAAATTTTACAGTATCCTATTTCTATCGCATGTAATGTAAGTATATAAATGTATTTATTTTTTGTCGGATTAATGATCCATAACAAATCGGTGTACAAATTACCTGGTCCAATCGGTATTTTCATAGATTTCAAGACCAAATTGTGTTATGCAACGTATGTTCCTCCGACGAATAGTCAAGTTTCCATTGTGTGCTTTCGGGGTGACGTCGAACCTATCTAATTGCCTCCTAATTGTTCAGTTCGTAATCATGAACGCGTATACTTATTATTATGCGCATTATTACGTTGTCATTGATTTGGAGAAGAAAAAATAAACGACTGTTTAAAATTCCTTCGAACCAGTTTTTTCCTAGTAGAAAAAAAAATAGGTAATGTCATTGTTTTTCGGACGTTACCACTCCTATTGTCATGACCTCGTGGTCATCGTTATTCGTGGCGGTAAGATGGACTGTACCACTTTTACTTATACATTTTGGTGGCGCAGGTTTTCTATCCAAGTTTCGTAAAATTTAAAACATTACATTATTATTTATTATTGTCTAGGCACGTGCTCCGTTTAGGCACTGTGACATGGTTGGTAGTGTACCTTGTACCGGCTTAGTAGTTTTCCGGTTGTCCTTTGCTCGTCGGCAAAAGCAGAAACTATGTTTCTTTTTGGATGCGGACGGCCGTGTGCCGCCACCATGTATCCTCTCTGTTGTCAGGGTACAGTATACCTACTATTGTTGTGTCCGTACGTGCCATGTTCAATGTCTATGGAAGTGAATATCCCAAGAGAGTAAAATAAATTCCTAAATCTCCCTATAATGGTGTATGGACAACAGCAGCAGCTCTTCGATCCATGTGGACACGTTTTTGAACCCCTGTCCGTTATAATAGCACTCCGCCGCTGTATGCGTATATATATATATAATATAATAATCGGGATGCGAACTCGGCCGAGACCGTGAAGACAACAACGCGGCAGCGCGCGCGCACGGTTCACCGGTTCTACGTCGTCGTCGTCGATACCCGTCCCCGACCATCTGCTGTTGCTAGCTCGGACACCACCACCACCACCACCGTCATCGTCGTCGCACGGCATTCGTTATTATTTATTTTATATATACTACTCGAGTTGATGATATAACGTTTCGTCCGTCCGTAATAATAACTACACGTACATGCCACTGCCGCCATCGATTACTGCATGGTTCAGGTGTCCGTCGGGAAGAGAAGGGCGTGGAGAAATATTTTTATAATTTTTCTTTCGCTCGGCCACAGCGTCGGTGGTTTATTTATCGTTACAACATTTACACCGGGGGGGGGGGGATCAAACATAAAATACGTGACCTAAATATAGAGAAAATATAATATAATTTAATACGTATAACAATAATGATATGTGCGTTTTTTTTTACGGTCCCGACGCGTCGACCGGACCAAAAATAAATATTCCTTTGGTAAAAACGTGCATGAGAAGGGTGTGTGTGACCGAGGACCGGGATAGGGTGCGCCGTCTTTCGCCCCGCGCCACCCCCTAGTGCTTCGTGTGCGGGAGCCGTATGTTTAATGCTGACAAACGCACGCGCGTTGCCTGCCTACGCTGCTGCCGCAACCGCCGTCAACCATCGTCGCAGAGACGATTTTTTGGGGAGCGTCCGCGCGTGTGTGTGTATTTTTAAAACTCCGTTCTGTCGGCGGGAAGGGTCCTCGTGCGATAATGGATGGGGCAACCCTATGGTAGTTGACCGCGTATCGTCGTCGTTCAAAAAGCCGTAAAAACGAATTTATTTGTGCGGGTCGGACGAATAATATATATATATTTATACATACATACACATAATGTGCCATAGATGTACCTTAATAAATATAATATGTGTGTGTACGTGTATTATTAATGGTCTGTCGTCCCTCTCAAATATAGTGTGTGTACCCTTCTTAAATAGCTATTATTTACTCGTGTTTGGGTGTTTTCTGTAATTTATTCTTTACTGACCATATTTTGTCCAATTAGACATTAAACATTTTTTTTTTTTTAATTCGAACGCCGGTTCTTTTACGAGCAAATCGATTGTGTTGTACATATGTTTATTTTCTCTCGTTCGTATTGTGTACACAATTTATAAATAAACTGTAAAACTAGTGACGTTTTGTTTTCAATATATTTTTGTCAACTTTTCTAAATCGTGTTTATCTTTATTATACATAGTCAATATTGTATACATATTCTTTATGATCTAGTTAAGATAAATGTTGAGTAAAGTAAAACAATATTATAACCTCCGATATTATGCTTACATATTTTAATAGTTATTTTTAGTTAATGTAATATGTAAACGTTAAAGTCTCCTGTACCTATGCTTTTTTTTTTTTAATGAGTATTATGTCGTTTTCGTCTTCTTGTACGATAAATACAATATTAATTTATTTTACAGTTATTAAACGTAACTACAACAGGTTGATCCAATGGCTATATTTTATTTTACTCGTATCTCTGCAGTGTTATATTTATACTTATTTCCTACACCATATTTTCGTACCGCCTGATAGATAGATAGATTTATAATACGGATAATTTTGCTCCTTGACCTTACATGTTAAAATATTGTAAATGTCGTTGTTACACTGAAACTAAATAGGTATGGATGAGTCATATCTACCAAGTTCAATACAAAATCTTTTCATTTGACCCGCGTGGGCAGTCAAACCTGTTCTGTGTTTGTGCTGTAAATCTTCAGACGGGCGAAAGAAAGAAAAGAAATAAAATCGTTGGCGAGCAGATTTTTACTTCGGTATTTGGTATTTTATTGAAAATTTTACCACCTCTATGGTTACAGAAAAAAAAAAAAATCAAACAATTAATAAAATTTCGAGACTACCCTTGGCACGACGGGGATTTCGTACGTCGTTCCATTCATTTTTTACGATAGCGTTTATGGCACACCATAAAATGGTTATTTCTGTTCGTTTTACATTCACATAAGCACACAACTACCCCCCTTGTGGTGTCGTTTCTATAAATATATTATTTAGTGGTGTGTTATACCGCACGGTGGAATGTGTTCACCCTTTTTCGGTAGCATATTTTCGAATTAAATGTGGCGGTGATGACGGGCCACGCGCAGGACACATTCCATTTTTTTTTTTATTTATAATGTCGTCTACGGTATTTAGTAAATATTGCGCCGATGGCGCCATTTAAAAATACTTTCGTATAATGCGTTGACTGTACGAACGTCGCCAGTATTTCTAGTCACTAGCAATTATTGTGTCGCCGCTATCGCTTGTCATACGACCTCGTGTGCCTTAGTCCCCGCTGCTGATGCCTAAGTGTCAAACGGACGCTATTGTAGTACGGGATCCTGTGTAATGGTGGTGGTGGAATGGTATGCGTGCGTATGAAAGGCACGAAAGTAACTTGATATAGTTAATTTCCATAGATTAAATTATATAAAATAATGTTTCGGAATTATAACTTAACGC